TGTGTTCTTTAAATTCACTGAATTCTTTTATCATGTTTATAATTGTACTTTTGAGTTCCATGTCTTGTGTTATCTCTAGGGAGTTCTCATTGCACTCCTCTAGAGGACTATTGGTCCTTGGTGAGGATATATTATTTTTGTTTTTCATGTTATTATTTTTTTCTTTGTGACTTTGACATGTGAATTTCTTTCATAGTTTCTGATTCTTGTGTGAGACTCAAGCCTTCCTTTGTTTAGATCTGCTTCTTTTTGTAAACTTTATGTGCCTTTGTGGGTTTTTGGTTGGGCATGAAAAGCTGGTCTAGGCTTCAGGTTCTCCCTTTTGATTTTATATTAGAGTGGCCTAATTGCTTTTGTCTTCAGGAGTTTCCACAGAGGCCCAAGTGAGATGAGGCTCAGATGCTCTCGGGCTTTCTCCTAAGGTCTGGATCCCTCCAGGAAAGATGCTGCCCTCAGGAATTTGAGGGCTGGGCTGGCCTGGGAGAAGGCCCCAGATAGATCCTGGTCTCACTCAGGAGGCTGGTGGCTGTGCCACCCAGGGAAGTAAAGGGAGGTGAGGGCAGGACCAAGCCCAGAGGGTTCCTGGGGGTGGCAGGGAGGAACTGGGTTGGTCCCGATGCAAAGGATCAGGAAGCAGTGGTGGCTCTGGACTGAGAGGTTAGCCCCAGTGTTTGGGGTGCCAAGATAAGAAATGGGCCTGTACACAGGCTAGGAAAAGAGACCTGCGGGGGAGCTGGGAGGGTGAAAGAGGCAGGGGGAGTCAAGGTGCAGTGGGTGCACTGGACTTACCCAGGGAAGGTACTGGTACCAGGACACTGGAGGCTGTGCAGCCCAGGAAGCAAAGGGAGGTGAGGGCAGGGCCAGGCCCAGAGGGTTCCTGGGGATGGCAGGGAGGAACTGGGTTGGTCCCAATGCAAAGGATCAGGAAGCAGTGGTGGCTCTGGGCCGAGAGGTTAGCCCCAGTGTTTGGGGTGCCAAGACAAGAAATGGCCTGTACCCAGGCTAGGAGGAGAGACACAGCAGGGAGCTGGGAGGGTGAAAGAGGCTGGGGGAGTCAAGGCGCGGTGGGTGTGCTGGACTTACCCAGGAAAGGTGCTGGCACCAGGACACTGGAGCAAGATTCTTATAATTTTAACTATAAATTCAAACTTCGAAATTGGCCAATTAATTGTTAATTTTGAAAAATTTTTTGACTATAGATTATCAAATATAATACAGAACTCAATTTAGTGCTTTGTCACAATATTAAAAATGTTATCACATTACACGTTATCAAAAGTGCCCCATTTGAGGTGGGGCGGGGAGAGGTTCAGTGGTTAAGAGCACTTGTTTTTTTCTGTTTTTTTTTTTTTTTGAATTTCAGGGCTTTATTGTGCAACAGGGAAACAGGGAGGGCCACGCTGGCACCCGCCCACTCCTAAACTTTTAGATTGTTATTTCTGAGGTTTCTGGTAACCCCCTTTATGATCCCCACATGGACTTTTAAAGACAACATACCCAGGAAAACTCAAGCTTTCCTCCTTTAAACACATTATTTACATAATTAATTTTACACTGACGGTAAAAATTATACTAAAGTTTACCACTAAACTTTATTTGTTCTCTTCTTAAATGTCTACTAAATATCTTCACTGTCCCAGTAACACTGATTGTTCTTGCAAAAGACTTGTGTTCAAATCCCAGCACCCACATGTTCAATTCCAGTTCCAGATGATTCGATGCCCTCTTCTGTCCTCTGTGAGAATTGCACGACACAGGTACACTTACATTCACATTCAGGCAGTACACACATACATATAAAATAAAAATAATATTTTTGATGCCCCATTTTTTTCTTAAGCAGGAAAAGTATAGAGCTGTGGTGTTTATATTTGATAAAGAGTAAAAAGTAAAAAACTTTCATCTTGAATTTGGCTTAAATGCTTCTAAGCCACCCAAAAGTACATGACACAGGTAGCAGGTTCACGCTCTTGGTATAAGAAATCATGCCACAGAGTTTAATATTATAACTGGACTTTTACACATAAAATAAGGAAAGAAAATCTATCATTTAGTACATTTTCTTGTTTTCTTTTTATTTCGTCAACAAGAAAGCAGATTTAATATCATATTACTTTGTTCAAGTCATCTAACGTGAGGTTTTAGTTTTTCTTCCTCTAGCAGGTTAACAGCAAACACGCAAGGACAAGTCCCATCAGAGCTGAGCATTTTCACATGAAAGTAGTTTTCATTTAAAATAGAGTAGTGGAAGTACATGTAGATTTTAAAAAAGCATAACCATTTGCAAACTCCCAAGAGAAAGTCACAAAAAACTGAAATAGTGGCCGCTAGAAAGGAGGCATGGAAGGAAACATTTCCAGCAAAGGTGACAATCTTTGCTCTGTCATTGATATATGCCATCAGCACATTCTGACCAGCTAAGTCAAAAGGAACAGTTGAAATGGGTAGAATTTCTCCTACTGCCAAAATGTGGTAAGGAAAAAGAAAGAACTAAGCTAAGCTCTAAAGTGACAATCACAAAGCAGAGGATTACAAAGAATAAAACTGCATCTCCAGGACGGGGTGAGGGTCCATGCCCATAATCCCAGCACCTGGGAGGCTGAGGTAGGAGGATCACAAGTTTGAGGCCAGCTAGGGCTACACAGTGAGATCCTTGTCTCAAAAAGAAAAAACAATACAAATTGTAACCCTGATTTCTGAGGAAAAAGCATTTCCTAGAACAAGGGCATAAAGCAGACTTCAAACTGAAAACTACATTGTGTCTCACTGAAAAATAAATTTCAGGTATTTTTAAATGTGTATAAAATTTATAAATCAAATTTATACATCAAATGTGCACACTAGCAATTTATTTTCACTTACAAAGTGTCTAGGAAAAGTTCTCCATGTTCAAAATTAAATAGTAATTGTCTTCCACATAGAAAAGTTATATTGGTAATATGACATAAAGGCTTAATTCTGCTGGATTAAAAGACAATTAGAATCATTCAGAAGTGAAAAAAATGTGAATTTTTTAAAGTGTTAAATTCTTGTAATTTTGTAGCAACAGGTGCACTTTTTCCAAGATCTAAAAAGTATCCTTTTATCAATATAAAACTATTAAAATAATTATGAGAATATTAATATCAGAAAAATAAAGTCACATGATATACCAGTAACTCAAGAATTAAAATCAGGAGAGCAGTCTCCCTCAAACAAAGAATGTCTTCCTTTTCGTCACCTCCATTCCTTGCCCATAATCTTTATTCCACATCCCTTACACAGAAGTAGTATCACAATCTGATAGGTAGATAAAAACATATTTTCGCCTTGTAGAGCTCAAGTCCATATACTCAGTCTTCTTTCTTAGCGTGCTTCTTCGCACTGTCTGGAGTTTCTGGCACAGGCTTTGAAGATGTCGAGACAGCACCATTGGAAGATGGTTTCACTTCACTTTTCCTTTCACATGATGAAAACTGCTGCTGCCAGCCAAACAGCATCCGACTCAACGTACCCTCAAAAGGAGCGAGAGTCACTGCAGAATTCTTTGTCAACATCATGGTTACCTGAAAAAAAAAAAAACAACTTTGAATTTAAGTACAAACACTTTATATTTCTCAAAACTAGGAGAGAAAAATAAAAGGGCAAAAGGGATTCAAAATATATTTTGGTTTTAAACTGTAGGAGAAGAAAATAAGCTAGATTCTGGAAAAATCTCTGATCTGTACGAATTTAAAGAATATTCTCATTGAAGTAACACAAGGTATAATCAAAAGCAACACAAGGATGCCAGATGAACAGTAGAGCCATTTCTACAAAA